TTTGATTCTCTGACCTGTTTATCTTTTTATTCAAGGTCCCAAATGACATTATTTTATGATCTATGTTATAATGTTGTTTCCTCATCAAAAACAGACCTTGAGTTGTGTTTTGTTTCATTCACACATGTTTGAGTAACACTTTATTATTAGTCTGTCTACTTCTCCAAAACTGTAAACCAGTGGTGCTCAATACGTCGATCATGATCTACCAGTCGATCGCCAAGGTCGTGTGGGTAGATCGCCGCGTCTCGTCTCGGACTCTATCACGTTTGGACTCGGTCTGGTCTCTCACTCGAGGTCTGACACTGGACAAGTGCGATCATATTACGGCCGCTGCTGTTGGTAATAAACTTGTACCTGGTGCGGGAGCGTGCGGAGCGTCTCACTATAGCCTGTGCGCCACTTGGGACACGCGGATACTGTGCAGCACATCACAATCACACACGCTCCCTGCGCGCGGCTTGTCCGCAACAGCGTTAGTCCTCGTGTACCAGCGTGTATCACAGGGCAGGTTAAACTTTTTTAAAACATCCTACCTGTCCATCTGCTCACGTCAGCGCACCGCTCCTCGCCTTTTCACGTTCTCGCTCTTTCCCGGGTAAAATGCACAGGCTCCTGCCTCAATGCGCAGATTAGAAGGACAAAACGCGTAGCAAAAACTGATCTAAATGTATGTTAGAGTGTTGGCACAGAGGAGCCAACAGCACAGAGCAGATCTACCGAGACATGTGGCTAAAGTTTGCCTAATAAACGTGCACAAATACATCTGGGTTTGGTTTGGTAAATGTGCAGAGGCTAAATCCCACTGTAAAACTCGTACTAACCATGTAACTCCAGTTAGGAACTTGATAAAACAGGTTTAAAAATCCTAATCACTGTCTTCACTTTTTTCAGTTTTCTGTAAAGTGCTATTGAACGTTCTCTTAAGTCCAGTACAGTTTACTTGACTTTGTAGTCGGTTGATCATTTTTGACTTGGACATTTTATAAGTAGCTCGCATGCTGAAAAAGTGTGGTCACCCCTGATTCAAGTCATTACGAACATGTAAAAAGTTGAATTGTGTTGTGCAGTATTACCTCATGACATTATGCAAGATACACCAAAATGTATTGTACATGTAAGAATTCATAATACATTTACAAATAAATATCTGTTTAACATTTTTGTATTAGGTGGTAGATCTTCCAGACACGATCATTTATAAGTAGCTCACATACTGAAAAAGTCTGAGCACCTGTGCTGTAAATGCTCTGTTCCACATTGTGATGTCATGTAGTGGTAGTTTTGAAGTTAACAGCTCTTTTTACCTTTAATTCCATAGAGATCAGCAAGTCCAGGGCTGAAATGATCCAAATGATTCTAGTGATGGTGTATGGAGTTTAAAAACACAGTGGAGCACTTCCTGGATTACCACATGACATCACAAGGTGGAACAGAGTGTTTTCTAGGGGTGTAACGGTACAAAAATTACAGTTCAGTAGGTACTTCAGTTTTGATGTCATGGTTCGGTTCATTTTTGGTATGTATGGGAACAAAATGTAAAACCGTTTGCTTGTTGTTTATTTGTGTTTTTATTAAACCAACAGTTTGTTTGAACATTATACAAACGGGAAAATTAAATCAATGCAAAGTGCTGCTTGGTAAAACTAATAAGTTAGATCAAATATTTTCAAATAAGCAACAAATTAATGACATATTATAAAAAATAAATTCCTTGTAAACCGTAAACAAAACTTTTCAAAAAGTGAAGCGCAGCACTAACAGTTCCAGCATGAACTTTTACTCAATCTTCATATTTTTGGCCAGAAAAACAAACTTCTGAGATTCTGTGTTGGCAAAAGGAGAGAGTGAGGACCGCGGTGCGACGACCATAGTTTTGCGAGGATTCACGAGGTTTGACGGACGTAGTCAAGGTGGGGGTCAATTGTTGTCAAGGTGGCCGCCCTAACTATAAAGCACTGCGGGAAACACTGACACCCCAATCACGGACGAGTTCCCACTTGATTATTAAAGAGCCGAACCTCTGTGTAGCTGCACATGTGATGGTGGAATGTAAAAACTAGGGCTGGGTATCATTAAGAAGTTGTCCATACGATACAAACCTCGATACACAGGCCACGATACGATACGCTTGCGATACAGTGAGCTTTCGATTCGACAGGATTCGTTACAATATATTTCACATTGATTCGATATGTTCAGTGTAAAAAAGGCTAACTCATGGCTGTTATACTAAAAGTTTACTAAGTTTGTGCGAAGTTAATTTGAAAAACACCAATTTTACTCATCAAAATTGTGAAAATGTCAACACTTCTGTAGCTCTTACACAAAACAATTTAGTAAAATATATCAAAAATTACTCTTGATGATATATCGATACAGCAGTTCATGATATCGATACTGTATCATCACATTAAACATTATGATATATCGATATTTCAATATTTTTGCACACCCCTAGTAAAAACACACAAATTCACTCATGCACAACCTGGTGTCTTGTACCAAAACGGTTCGGCACAAATACGTGAACCATTACGACCCTTGTGTTTTCTGTCTGAGAGAAGAACTCAGCCTGAATATGAAGGTTTGTGTGTTAATTAAACATGTGAGAATGAAACAAAACACAACTCCAGGTCTGTTTGTGATGAGTAAACAACATTATAACATTGATTTTAAAAACAGTGTAATATGAGCACTTAAAAGCTTCACAGAAAAATATGGATCGAATCGACAAACAATGCACAACTGAACCAGGAAACTAGCAAATAAAATTGATTAAAACTTTAAAAATAAAGAAATAAATAAGCATTGAAACTGCTTATCAAACTTTTCTAGTGCATCTTGGGTTGGGTTTCTTCTATTGGAGTTCGAGTAAATGGAAGTGAACGCATTAACGGAGCTGACGCCATCTTTAATGAGGCCGTAATTGTCAGTGGTTGAGAAATCCAATAGGACGTCTAATTGAACCAAAGGATGCATTTCCTGTTTAAAAATATGAGTCAAGTTTTATTTCTTTTTTCCTGGAACTCTAAATGTATTAACCAGATTGCTGTGTTTTCCCCATAGGAAGTGATTGAGGCCATTTCGGAGTGCGCTTTCAAGACTTCTCCCTTTCCCATCATCTTGTCTTTTGAAAACCACGTCGATTCGTAAGTCCTTTTCTTCGGTTGCTAATGTTAATGCTGATTTGTGTTTATCGCTGTAGTTTGACCTCATTTTATGACGAGTGTGTTTTTGTTTTCGTGATCCGCAGACCAAAGCAGCAGGCCAAAATGGCGGAGTACTGCCGGTCGATATTCGGAGACGCATTACTGACCGATCCCCTGGAGAAATATCCCGTAAGTGCTTTTCACACACTTTAGGTTTAGTCTTGGTTCAGTCCTGGGTTTGTCCTCCTGGTTTAGTCCTGGTTTAGTCCTGGTTTAGTCCTGGTTTAGTTTAGTCCTGGTTTGTCCTGGTTTGGTCTTGGTTCAGTCCTGGGTTTGTCCTTCTGGTTTAGTCCTGGTTTAGTCCTGGTTTAGTCTTGGTTTGGTTTTGATATAGTCTTGGTTTAGTCCTGGTTTAGTCTTGGTGTAGTTCTGATTTAGTTCTGGTTTATTCCTGGTTTAGTTCTGGTTCAGTCCTGGTTTTGTCCTGATTCCATCCTGATTTCGTCCTGGTTGAGGCCCAGTGTAGATGTAGAGCTGTTTAGTCCTGATTTTGTCCTGGTTCAGTCCTGGTTTAGTCCTAGTTTAGTCCTGGTTGGGTCCTGGTTCTGTCTTGGTTTGTTCCTGGTTTATAGTAGTCCTGGTTTTGTCCTGGTTTAGTCCTGGATTCGTCCTCCTGGTTTAGTCCTGGTTTAGTCTTGGTTCATTTCTGGTTTAGTTCTGGTTTATTCCTGGTTTACTCCTAGTTTAGTCCTGGTTTGGTTTTTGGTTTAGTCTTGGTTTGGTCCTGGTTTAGTCCTGTTTTTTTCCTGGTTTAGTCCTAGTTTAGTCCTGGTTTGGTCCCGGTTTAGTCCTGGTTTAGTCCTGGTTTAGTCCTTGGCTCAATTCTGGTTTAGTTCCAGGTTATTCTTGTTTTAGTTCTGATTTGGTCCTGGTTTGGTTCTGGTTTAGCCCTGGTTTATAGTAGTCCTGGTTTTGTCCTGGTTTAGTCTTTGTTTGGTTCTGGTTTAGTTCTAGGTTTAGTCCTAATTCAGTCCTGGTTTGTTCCTGGTTTGATTCCTGGTTTGGTTTTGGTTTAGTCTTGGTTTACTTCTGATTTAGTTCTGGTGTAGTCCTGGTTTAGTTCTGGTTCAGTCCTGGTTTAGTCCTGGTTTAGTCTTGGTTCAGTTCTGGTTTATTCCTGGTTTGGTCCTGTTTTGGTCTTGGTTTTGTTCTGATTTAGTCTTGGTTTAGTTTTGATTTAGTTCTGGTGTAGTCCTGGTTTAGTCCTGGTTTAGTCCTGGTTTAGTCCTGGTTTAGTCCTGGTGTAGTCCTGGTTTAGTTCTGGTGTAGTCCTGGTTTAGTCCCGGTTTAGTCCTGGTTTAGTCCTGGTTTAGTCCTTTATATTTGACTCATTCTTATCAAAATACATAAATATTCATTGGTTTTAGTTTCTCTTATATGCAACATTTTGAGGACTTTTTCTCCCATTCGGAATCTATTATATTTTCTTTTATATTCTTAATCGCTATGGTAACGGTACTAATTCTCATCATTCTAAAACCTGTGCATATAAAGCTTTTTTTTAATCAGATATAACAGGTGTGTTGTGTAATTATAACAACAATAAAAATTTATGACAGGCTTAAATCAAAATGATGTATTTTTCTTGTATTTCTGCTTAGTTTTTTTGAGTGCCTTTGTGTGCATTGCGTCTCCATGGTAACTACTGAACATTCCATCATAAACATACAGGCAGAACACCCCAGCATGACGTATCGATAGTCAAAACTACTCAAATCCAGATTCCGAATTCAGTATTTTATGAAACTTTCTACACTTTAGCAGTATTTAAATGGATTGCCGTGTCTTTTTGTTCTTTTTATACACCATTACACTCTGTTACGTTTTGTTGCTTAGCCCTGGGTCCCGACAGAAGCCGTTGTAAATACATTCTTCTTTCTGTCACTCCGGGCGCTAAAACCTCTCCATCCCTTCATCCTTCTCTCTCTTTTCAATCACTCGCTCGCATACCTGTGGCTATTTACGTGCAGAGGAAACCAACTATTAACAATCACGTCTCGCAATCAGTTTTATTCTCATTTATCGCACCAGATACATCAGACTGCAGTGTAGATGATTCAAGGAGCTGTGCCTGAAAATGTAATAAAAAGAATAATAAAAATGGAAGTGAGTGGTCCATAGTTTTTCCTCACTTTTCTTATGCATTCGGAGTATCACCACAATGAGTTTATAAGTGTTTTTTTCTCAACTTTTTCACAGTTTTGTAGTCACAATAGAGGCTTTGCACCGTCACGTGACCCTATAGCAACGGTACCTACGCCGCCATGACACCGGGCACACTATGTCATTGACTTCAGCAGCATCGGAGAAACATGGGCAGGTTTTGTTGTGTATTTGGTTGTTCTAGACGCTCTGAACAGGATAAAACGATTCGTTTCTTCACTGTTCCTCTGGAAATGACTCATCAGGAGCTCAAACAAGGGAATTATCGAAAAAAGACGATGATTATAGCTAGCAAAAATAAACCACGAAGAGATTTCCTATTGTACCATCAAGACACCCGAAGTTTCATCAAGGTATTTGCTATTTAAATTGTTTCATAGTTTATTTAATGAAAGAAGCACATTTACTGAACTAAAATGTCATTAATTTATCCAGGAAAACCCGCACTAGTTTATGATTCAACGAAACCCACACTTTGCTCCTATGATCAACACGACGAGTCGAAGAGTCTGTGAGCCGAACCTCGAAAGAATCGGCCATGAAAAGATTCTCGCGAACGTTAGAAAGATCTACTCACAAAAAGCGATTAATTCTAGAAGACATAGTTGTGGTTAAGCAAGACAATGAAGAAAACATCGGTCCTACGACGAGTGACATGTTTATATGTGCGTTGGAAGACACAGTTTCTACTGCCACTCACACTGAAAATGTTTTCTTTTAAAATTTTTGTTCAGTAAATGTGCTTCTCTCATTAAATAAACTATGAAATAATTTAAATAGCAAATACCTTGATGAAAGTGACGTGAGTGTGTCTTGATGGGACCATAGGAAATCTTTTCGTGGTTTATGTTCTCTAGCCATAATTCCCGTTTTTTTCCGATAATTCCCTCATTTCCAGAGGAATAGTGAAGAAACAAATCCTTTTATCCCGTTAAGAGCGTCTAGAACAACCAAATACACAACAAAACCTGTCCATGTTTCTCCGATGTTACTGAAGTCAATGACATAGTGTGCCCGGTGTCATGGCGGCGTAGGTACCATTGCTATAGGGTCACATGACTGTGCAAAGCCTCTATAATGTCTGTGGTGGAAGAAGTACTCCATTTTGTTATTTTAAAAAACTACAAATACCGACGCAAAAAATACTGGATAAATTTGCCACCTTTTTTCATTACACCTCAAATCAAGAGTAGACAGATCTCCACCTCGCAGGAGCACTGGAGGTTGTGTGGAGAAATGGACGCTGATCACACACGTGTTTTGGAATTGCTTGAAAATTAAGGTACCGTATTTTCCGGGCTATTAGGTGCTCTGGATTATAAGGCGCACTGTCATTAAATGGTCTATTTTTGAACTTTTTTCACAAATAAACCGCACCAGACTTTAAATGAAACACAACAGTTGGATGGGTCAGTGGGACTTTGTTTGTGGCGTTCACGGTGACTCTGGGCTTTGTTCAGTTGTGGCGTGTAGGGAGGTTGCTGTCTGGACCAACGGATTGTCGGCGTGTTCGCAGTGACTCAGTTGTTCAGTTGTGTCTAGAAGTGGCACATTGCACTCGCTTTTTCGGTTCGTTCCTCCGTTCCGCGTCGGCGTGAGTGATGAGTGTGTCTGTGGGTGTTTTTTGCTGCGCACTCGCTGTCTGCTCCGTGTGTGTTTGCGTGCGCTGCGGGTGGTGCGACTTTGTAGTTTACTGAAGTCGTGCTGGGACACTCGAGTGGATTCATGTATAGGGCGCTCTGGATTGTGGCACGCAGTCGTTTTTTAATGGGGTTAGAGGCTTTAGAGCGCGTCTAATAGCCCGGAAAATACGGTATATTGGGAACAGTTAAACGTAACCTTAACTAGTATTCTGGATTATGGAATTCCAAACACTTGTCTGGTGATCCCGGAAATCAGATGTAGTGAGGAAGGATGACATAGCCTGATTCATTAGTCAGTTTCACTTTGTGGAAACCGTCTGACCTCGCAGCAATAGGATTCATTTGCTCGACAGTAGTACTAGAAGGTAGTAGACGGTACTTTTTTTATTTAACCAATTGCTGCTATTTGGTCGTGACATATGTAATGCGCTGCTATTGGGACTAACTGGGTTTCTCAAATCCCGTAGGAAGAAGGGCAATAACGTCTTTCCCCTTGATAAAGTTCACCAAACATTCCCTTTGTTCTGACTTTAAATCCTCGATCTTGGGAATCTTTGACAACACAGAATGTATGTCTTCGTCTACATCCATCTCGACCGCTTTGCTTACTGTTGTGCTGTACCACAAAAGGGACCCAGACAGACGTGATGAGTTTGATGTCATGGCTTCACAGTTCTTCGCTGATTGGTCGGTGTGCTGTCGACAACTTCCAGGGTTCTTGCAAACCGTCTAGTGCAGAGGTCTCCAACCTGTATTCTGAATTACATGTTTTGTCCTGAATAAGTAAAATGTGTTTAATTAAATGCCTATTACCATTGTACATGTATTATTTTGATGCCTAACTTTGTGCACTAATAAGTGAATAATGATTTATGTTTTATAGGCATTTAACTGTACTTCACTAAAACTTGTAGCTCTCAGCCATTTTCATTTTGTAAAGTAGCTCACTGAGGGAAAAAGGTTTGGAGACCCGTGGTCTAGTGTATTCCAATTCCTGACCTAGTCCCTGGAGAGAAATTAAATTGAGCAGAGTCACTAGGTGGCGCCAGCCTGACTAAGGATGACATGTATCTGACAAAAATTGTTCTGACTGCGTCTTAAAAGGGAATAAAAAAGAGTTGGTTTTAATCAGCTCCACCCGTATAACAAGACTGGATCAGGATTTTGGGGAGTATTTCAGTGATGGAAAGAATAACATACAATCTTAAACTGAAAGGTACAAATACAATGAGCAACGGAAAAAGTGGAATGCATTTATAAATGACACTAGTAAAATAACATAGTACATTAAAGTGTCATTACCAATACATGTTTAAGTAAGAA